AAATGTTTGTGTCTGAAAACCTGGACTTCAGGTAGAAACAAGGTGAATCCATGATGTTCTTCCCTGGGCTACCCTCGCTCCTTCCCAGCAGCTGGCACAGAGGTTCTGCCAGGGAAGAGCAGGCTCTGGCGACCATGCAGTTGTGGCCAAAGGGGCTCACTCCAGATGGAGCCTGGGGAACGGCAGCACTGGCGATGGGAGAGACTATCTTCAGGGAAGATGGGGTGGGAGTAGGGCCAATGTTTCTACTCACCTGAGGTTACGGTTATTGTATGGGTGAGCATATTCCTGGCTGATAATAAGACAAAGGAGGAAACTCACATAATAATCCCAACAGATGCAGAAAAAGCATTTGATAAACTCCAATCCCATTCGTGCTAAAACCTCCAAACTAATTAGGAATAGAAGGGAATTTTCTCACTATGATAAAGGGCATCTTTATCCCTCACGATGAAAGACTGAATGCTTTTTCTTCTCAGAAAAACAGAGGAAAATTAATCAAATGTAGTGATATTAATAAGAAGACTGAAATGACTTTCTGTGATTTCAGAAACCTGCGGTTAATTGTGGTCTGCAAATATTATGTATAATACAGTATTCTGAGAGAGAAACCATGTTCACATAATTCATATGACAATATATTGTTATAATTGTGCTACTTGATTATTATGATCGTTAATCTCTTACTGTACCTGATTTATAAATTAAACTTTGCCACAGGCATGTATGTATAAGAAAAAACATCGTACACATAGGGTTTGGTATTATCCATGGTTTCAGGCACCTGCTGGGGGTATTGGAAGGTAGCCCCTGTGGATTAGAGGGGACTACTATACTAAAACTAATAAAAGAAGTTTAGAAAGGTCATAGGATATAAGTTCTATGTGCAAAATTCAATTCTATTTGTACATACAGGCAGCCAAGTAACTGAAAATAAAATTCAGAAAACAATTCCATTCACAATGGCATACAAAATAACTTACTTTGGAATAAATTTAACAAAGGAAGTGCAAGACTTGTACACCAACAACTATAAACCATTGCTGAGAAAAAGTAAACATCTAATTAAATGGAGTGACATTCTTTGCTCATGATTAGAAGATTCACTATTGTCAAGGTGGCAATTTCCCTCATATTGACCTGTAAAGTAAGTATAATCCCTCTTAAAATCCTAATAGGCTTTTCAAAGTTACAAACTGCCAAGCTGGCCTAGCCTGGTGGCTCATACCCGTAATCCTGACATTAAGGGAGGCTGAAGTGGGAGGATCTCTAGAGGCCAGGAGTTTGATACCAGCCTGGGCCACAAAGTAACACCCTGTGTCTACAAAAAAATTTAAAAAAAATAATAAAAAACGACAAGCTGATCCTAAAATTTACATACAATTTTATATATAGTAGGGACCTAAAATAGCCAACATTATTTTGAAAAAAAAAACAACAAAGTGGCAGCAGTTTCACTACTCAGTTTGAAAATTTCCTCTAAGGTCATAGTAATCAAGGCTGTGGGCACAGGGATAAACGGGTGAAGAGGACAGAACTGACTATATGGAAATAAACCTTTATGTTTATGATCAATTGATTTTTGACAAAAGTGTCATTGATAATTCAACAGGGAGAAGCTGTGTTTTCAATAAAAAGTGCTGGGACAACTAGATAGCTCTAAGCAGAACAAACAGGCTCTCCCCTCTCACCATTCTTGTGGATCAAGACCAGCCTGGCCAAGCTGGTGGAACCCCGTCTCTACTAAAAATACACAAATTAGCCTGGCGTAACTCTTGCATAATTAACTCAAATGGATCATAGACCCACATGTAAGGGCTAAAACAACTCTTCTAAAAGAAAGCATATAAGAACATCTTCATGACCTTGGATATGACCCCAAAGGCATGACCCACAAAAGAAAAAACTGATAAACGGAACTCCAGCAAAATTAAAAGCTTTTGTGCTTTGAAAAACCCCATTAAGAAAATGAACGCTGGGCATGCCTCAGGACTATAATCCCAGCACTTTGGGAGGCCGAGGCAGTCGGATCACTTGGGCCTAGGAGTTTAAGACCAGCCTCGGCAACATGGTAAAACCCTGTCTCTAACAAAAATACGAAAATTAGCCAGGGGTGGTGGTGTGTGCCTGTGTTCCCAGCTACTTGGGAGGCTGAGGTGCAAGGATTGCTTAGATCTGAGGTCAAGGCTGCAGTGAACTATGATCATGCCAGTGCACTCCAGCCTGGGTGATAGAGTGAGACATTGTCTCAAAACAAACAAACAAAACCAAAAGAAAATGGAAGATAAGCCATACATTCAGAATAAATATTTGCAAATCATCTATCTGATACTGTCTATAAGGAATATATAAAGAGAATTTACCACTCAATAGTAAGACAAACAGCCCAATTAAAAATTGGCAAAATATTTGAATAGATATTTCACCAAAGAAGATACTGGAATAACTAATATGCACATTTAAAATGCTCAATATCGGTAGTCATTAGAGAAACACCGATTAAAACCACAATGAGATGCCATTACACCCTCCTTAGAATCACTGTAATAAAAAAGTCAATAACAAGTACTGGGAGGATGTGGAGTTACTAGAGCCTGAGCACATGGCTGGTGAGAATGTAAAACAGGACAGGCAGTCTGGCAGTTTTATCAAATGTTAAACAGAAGTTTACCATACAATCCGCCAATTCCACAACTAAGAATTTACCCAAGGGAAGCCGGGCGCGGTGGCTCAAGCCTGTAATCCCACCACTTTGGGAGGCTGAGGCGGGTGGATCACGAGGTCGAGAGATCGAGACCATCCTGGTCAACATGGTGAAACCCCGTCTCTACTAAAGATACAAAAAATTAGCTGGGCATGGTGGCACGTGCCTGTAATCCCAGCTACTCAGGAGGCTGAGGCAGGAGAATTGCCTGAGCCCAGGAGGCGGAGGTTGCGGTGAGCCGAGATCGCGCCATTGCACTCCAGCCTGGGTAACAAGAGTGAAACTCCGTCTCAAAAAAAAAAAAAAAAAGAATTTACCCAAGGGAAATGAAAACAAAAAGACATATACATAAATGTTCATAGCATTATTCATAATAATAAGACTAGAAACAATCTAAATCCATGAGGCCAGGTGCAGTGGCCCACTCCTGGAATCCTGGCACTTTGGGAGGCCAAGGTGGGTGGATCACCTGAGGCCAGGAGTTTGAGACTAGCCTGGTCAACACAGTGAAACCCTGCCTCTACTAAAAATACAAAAATTAGCTGGGCATGGTGGTGCACGCCTGTAATCCCAGCTACTTGGGAGGCTGAGGCAGGAGAATCACTTGAACCTGGGAGGTGGAGGTTGCAGTCAGCTGAGATTGCACTACTGCACTCCAGCCTGGGCAACAGAGTAAGCCTCTGTCTCAGAAAAAAAAAAAAAAAAAAATCCATCATTAACTGATGCATAGATAAACAAGATGTGGCGTATATCCATAAAATGGAAAACTACCCAGCAATGAAAAGGAATATACTTCTGCTACATGTACAATAACATAGATTAATCTCAAATACATGATTATACATGAAAGAAGTCAGATGCAACTGACTACACATTGTAAGAATCCATTTACACGGTATGTCCAGAAAAAGCAATTTTTGGAAAAAGAAAACAGATCAGTAGTTTCCTTGGACTGGGGGTGGGGATGGAGGTGAATTGCTAATGGGCATGGAGGAAACGTTTTGGGTGATGAAAAGGTTAAAAAACTGGACCATAGTGATGGTTGTTACAGAACTCTACAAGTTTACAAAGAATCAATGAGTTGTACATTTATAACAGTTAATCATTATTTGTAAATAATTCTTCAGCAGAGCTGTTAAAGGCGTCCTCATCGACCGGGCACAGTGGCTCATGCCTGCATGAGCTCATGCCCAGCACTTTGGGAGGCCAAGGTGGGTGGATTACGAGGTCAGGAGTTCGAGACCAGCTTGGCTAAGATGGTGAAACCCTGTCTGTACCAAAAATACAAATATTAGCTGGGCATAGTGGTATGCACCTGTAATCCCAGCTACTTGGGAGGCTGAGGCAAGAGAACTGCTTGAACCTGGGAGGCGGAATTTGCAGTGAGCCAAGATTGTGCCACTGCACTCCAGCCTGGGCAACAGAGCAAGACTCTGTCTCAAAAAAAAAAAAAAAAAAGCGCATCCTCATCTTTTTGGGATATTAACAGATGAAATGATGAGATGTCTGGGAACCGCTTCAAAATATGGAAGGTGGGGCGGTGGCTGGGGCTACAGATGGAGGAAACTGGCTGACGGCTGATCACGACTGAAGCTGGCTGATGAGTACATGGGTTCATGATTCTATTCTGTTTAATTTTGTCTATGTTTGAAATTGTCTATAACACAAGCATAGTGATCCAAAGGAGGGAGAAGAACCCTAAATGTCACAATTACGTGCATATCTAATTTACATTTCACTCTGAGAGGCTTGTGAAATTTTTTCTTTAAAGACACTGACACAGAATCTCAATTCTGTTGGGATTTTAAAGTAGTTAATACAATAGCAAAGACATGGAGTCAACCCAAATGCCCATCAATAGTAGACTGGATAAAGAAAATGTGGTAGATATACACCATGGAATACTATGCAGCCATAAAAAGGAACAAGACCATGCCCTTTGCAGGAACATGGATGGAGCTGGAAGCTGTAATCCTCAGCAAACTAATGCAGGAACAGAAAACCAAACACTGTATGTGCTCACTTGTAAGTGGGGGCTAAATGATGAGAACACAGACACACTGGGTGGGGAACAGCACACACTGGGGCCTGTCAGACATGGGCGAGGGGGAGGGAGAGCATCAGGAACAACAGCTAATGGGTGCTGGGCTTAATACCTCGGTGATGGGTTGATTTGTGCATTAGACCACCATGCACATATTTACCTGTGTAACAAACCTGCACAATCTGCACACGTACCCCATAACATAAAATAAAAGTTGATTTTAAAAAAGCAGTGAATGGTTTGGAGTCTAACCTGGTGAGTAACGCATTACTGAGAGCTGTTCATTTCCATCTGTGTGAACGGTGACCAAGTCTTTTGTTTCTGTGTCAAACACAAACCACCTGTTGTCAACATGAGAAAAAGCACAGTAAGTCGTTTAGTGAGAAAATAAAGATTATTACAACAGTAGGAGGAATAAAAAAATTATTAATCATAAAAGCTTAATAAAGATATGAAATTTGCTTAATAAGAAAGCTTGTTTCCAGTTTTTATTCAAAGAAAATTTCCTATATAGAAGCATTTTTTTAACAAAAGAAATGGCACATTGGTTACCATTCAAAACTATGCTGTTATCAACACCATGGCACAGTTTCTCTGTGTTTGTCACTTGCACACAGAAGGAGAGAAAGCTGTGAGCAGAGGAGATGTCAATACCTAGTACCAGGGCGTATGGTCAGAGGAAGCAGCGAAGGACCACCTGCAAGAGCTCACCCAGGTTTCCAGGGTGAAGCAGGAGCACGAATGAGGATTTGCTGGTGTCCCAGTGGTCCTGCAGGCAGAGGCAGGCTGAGAGTACAGGCCCTATGGGGATGCCAGCCGGCAACCAACAGGGCGAAGGAGTGCACAGAGCAAATGGAAGAAACCGGAGTGGAGGACTGGTCTGATTTCACCTGGCTGGGCCATTTCCTCAGTGGTGAGCTGAGGAGGAGAGTCCAGGTCTATTTTGCAGGCTCAGTATTAAAGTCGAATGATAACGGACATGAAGTGCTTTGTATCCTCTGATAAGCACACAGTCCCACTAAATGTCTGTTAACATTAGAATGACTGAACTCTCCTGCCTGTTATATTCTCAGGGGGTGCTGGTGAGCCCCTGGTGTTTTTAATGATAAAGGGAATGCATGGTCCCTCCTCCTGCAGTTTCTAACCTGTATGAGGACAACCCATCAGTATGTCCACTGCTGCAGAGTGAGCATCCCTTGTCTTCCACAGGAGACCCCCTAACCATGCAGTGTCCGATGTCCTGTCCCCCAGAAATGTGGATTTTGCTTCTCTGCCAATTTTTTACACCTTCAACAACCATTTACCTTTAATGTGCTATTTAACCTTAATAGAGGCTGGGGCCAATTAGAACATGGCTTTAAAGTATCCTGTTAAATCAACAGCATTGGGAACTAAGTCCAACCTAGGACCTGAATGGCAAGAAGCATAGATGAGGGGCTGGATTAGGTGACACGAGCCATATCCACCACCCTGGGACACTGATTCTGAGCACTGTCACCATGTTCTACATGCACAGTAGGCATGGCGGCATCTGTCAGCCTGTTGGGAGGTCAGTCATCAGAAGGTGGGAGCCTGGTGAGTTAGAAGCTTCAGCTGTCTCAAAGAGAGTAAAATGGGAGGTGGTGTGTGTGTGTGTGTGTGTGTGTGTGTGTGTCTACACAAACGTTTTCATGAAGAATTCTGTTGGTTACATGGAGACCAACATTAAGATATTGCCGTCTATGACCTACAAAGAGCTCCACTTTCTTCATCCATACAGGCTCTGCAGTCATAGCAACAGAACTAAGTGCTGCGCTTTTTAGAGAGGAAGGGTGGGAGGAAAAATATTTGACTGAAACCACAGTAAATGTATACAGGACCATGAGCAACATAAAGGTTCAATCGAAACCTACAAAGCAATGATAATGATAGCCGCTGCAAAGCTTGCCAGGCGGCCCCGGCAGGTGCTCTCTGCATTGTCTCCTTTCATCCTCAGTGCGACACAGCCAGGCAGGGAATATAACAATTTACAGAAAAAGAAACAAATTCGGAGAGTTTATATAACTGGTTCAAAGCCACACTGCTGCTATGTGGCAAAGCTGAGCTGCAAACGCAGACCCACCATCCGGTGCGTAGGAGGTGCCAGGTGAATAGGTATATTGGAGTAAGAGGCTCAGGGTCTGGGCAGTTTCTACAATCTTGAAAGTGCAGCTAGAAAAAGCATTTATTTTCTATTTTTAATTTTTTTAGAGATGGGGTCTTGCTCTGTGGCCTAGGCAAGGGTACAGTGGTGCAATCATAGTCCAAGGCAGCCTTGAACTCCTGATCTTAAGAAATTCTCCTGCCTCAGCCTCCTGAGTAGCTAATACAGGTCTGGACCACCATACCTGTATTACTCAGCTCAATTTTAAAGTTTCTATAGAGATACGGTCTTGCTATGTTGCCCAGGCTGGTCTCAAACTCCTAGCCTCAAGCCATCTTCCTGCCTAGGCCTCTCAAGGGCTGGGATTACAGGTGTGAGCCACTGTGGCCAGGAATAGAAAAAGCATTTTTAAATGCTCAGAACTTTGAAATGTTTTCTTGCTTCATTCTAAAGTCAAGGCTCCTTCCGCAGTCTCAAGATCAGGAATTGGGAAGCTCCATGAATCCTCTCAAATTACAGGCAAAATGTGTGTGTGGCTGGGTGTGGTGGCTCATGCCTGTGATCTTAGCATTTTGGGAGACCAAGGTGGAAGTACTGCTTGAGTCTAGGGGTTCAAGAACAGCTTGGGCAACACAGTGAGACGTGTGTCTCTACAAAAAATAAAATATTAGTTGAGCATGGCGATGCAGCCTATAGTCCCAGCTACTTAGGAGGCTGTGGTGGGAGGATCACTTGAGTCCTGGAGGCTAGAGTGAGCTGTGATTGTGCCACTGCACTCTAGTCTGGGTGACAGGGTGAGATACTGTCTAAAGAAAAAAAAAATGTGTGTGTGTCTTGTGGAGGTAGAGGGTTCTTTTCCAGGAGAGAGGGTCTAGAGCTTTCCTCAGATTTCCCCAAGGCTCAAAATGTAATGGGCCACTGTTTCAAGTTTTGCTTTCAACTTAATTCTTGGTAAGTCATTAGAAGCTGTGAACGTGCAGCCAAGAGCTGAATGGGGGCCTGTTCCTGGGGAAGTAGAAACAACAGCCTCTTTTCCACAAGCTTTGCAAGCACAAGCCACGCTGGCATGGACCTACCTCCCAGTGAGTGTTCCGACTGCAACCACAGACCCTGAAGGATGAAAACCAGAAGACTGAGCTGGATCCTAAAATATTTTAAAGGAAGTGTAAATTGATGAACAGATACAACACTATAGCATAACACACATACAACACAGACACACGCGCGCGCGCACACACACACACACACACGAGTTCTAATTCCTTAGGGCTCGGTGACTCTATTTGAAAAGTCTCTTTTCTCTCTCTAGAGAAAAATGTTTTCCTACTTGGATAAATGCCATGTTTCAATAATGCTAAATTTCTACCCTACCCAATCCTTTTTTTGAAGCAGGATCTCATTTATCATCCAGGCTGGAGTGCAACAGCATGATCATGGCTCATTGTAGCCTTGACCTCCCAAGGACAAATGACACTCCTGGCTCAGCCTCTGAAGCAGCTGGGACTACAGATGTGTGCCGCCACACCTGGCTAATTTTTTTATTTTTTATTTTGTAGAGATGGAGTCTCACTATGCTGCCCAGGCTGGTCTTGAACTCCTGAACTCAAGTGATCCTCCTGTCTCTGCCTCCCAAAATTCTGGGATTATAGGTGTAAGCCACTGAGCCTAACCCAAATTTCTATCCTTTTAGAATTTTTCCCTTTTTGTGTTAAATCCGTTCCTATCTATAGTAATCTGATGAAAGACAGGTAAATGCTCCTCTGCAAAGCCACAGTTTCTAGAACTCCACCCCTTCAGTTGACTCCCTGTGCTGAATGGTAAGCTCATCAAATAGTGTGCTTGATTGGTCTGGAAAGACAACCGTGGCACCTGACTCCATTAAACGGAGACTGGGTGAGTGCCCACTGGGGGCAAAACACTACAGAGGCCTGGAAGGATCACGAGATAAGCGAGGCATGTTCTAGGTTTTGATCCAGAGGAACACGCACACAGTCATCACTAACTTGGATACCAGATGGAATAATCCATGAAGGAGATACAAATCAAGGTGCTGTGGAATCACAAGGGAGGGAGGGAGAAGGTTACCCTGGGAAGCTGGGCCAAGGCTTCGCAGTGCCGATGACTGGACCTGGACCTCCCAGGAGAGGAAGAATTATCTCTGGTGAAGGTGGGATGTGGTCACTACAGTTTTTTGGACCACAGTGAAGTGGGCAACAATATAATTAAAGTGATGGAAGCAACACAGCTTTGGGCATATTTGAGAAATGGCAGGTAGGTCAGTGGGCTCACAGCACAGAGTATATGACACTAGTGATGTCACCACCAAGGTAAGGATTTGATCACTAGGAAATAAGAACACTTTGAATGGTTCTTGTCCTGTCAATAAAAAGAGTGACATGATTGAATGTGTGTTTTAGATAGAAGGGCACTTGGCAGGAGTGTTTAGGATGAAGTGAAAAGAGATTAAAGAATATCAGAAAAAAAGTAGCAATGGGACTGAAAATAGGAGGCACTGAGATACTACTGGATAATCTCAAAAAACCAAGAGAAAGAAACTTGATACATGATTTCATTATTTCAATGCATTCTTTCTACAGTAGCAGCTGTAATTAGCTCAGAGCTGCCACTAATATACAAACAGAAATCGTGTTCACTTGAAGCTTTACCGTTTATAAAGCACTTCTGTCTATGTCATTCATCTGGGCCTTGTAACAATTTTGAGATGTGGACACTGAGTTACAGATGTCGGAAGTCACCAGGCCAGTAGGCAGAGGAGCTAGGACTTCATTGCAGTTCTCTGGCTTCCAGTTTAGAGCTCTGACCCTTATGTTAGGCTAAGTGATTAACAGGCTGATAAAGGAGCTGTCATTGCCTTCAGCCCTCCTGGACCACCAGGGCACAGGCAGAACACAGAACACTGTTTCCTTTAGCTCCTTCCTGCCATTGTGGCCCATACCTGCTGAGTGGCAGTGCCTGCCCCTTGGGCCCTTCCACCTCGTGACTCAGCTGGCCCTAGCACCCTTTCTGTGAAAATGAAGGGAAGGAGAGCCGAAACTTGGACCTAGCACCTGGGACATGCCAATGAGTCTGTGGGGGATGAAAGGATGATGTGTGTGGTTTACAGAGGAGCTATTTCCTCTGTGCAATGGGTTTGCACAGATCATGAGGGCACAGGCAACAGAGAATGAGCTTTTGATTCACTGCAGTGCAATGCAGTGGAAAGAACAAGAGTTTAGGAGTCAGACTGAGCTGGGTCCTAACACTGGCTCCGTCACTCACTAACTTAGTGACCGTGGAAAGTTATTTAACTTCTCTATGCCTCAATTTCCTAACCAATAAAATCAAAGTAAAAAAAACCTCTTCAACCTGCAGAGCTGCTACAAGGATTAAGGAAAATACACGCACCATGCTTGGCACGCAAACAGTTGGTGCTCAAGAAATACATGTAGGGAAAGGGTATTTCAACACTCACAGGTCATCAGAGTTTCTTTTGCAAAGTTCACAAAGACTTTCAAACAAAAAGTTTACTTTACCATCAAACTCAAAATGTAGAGATATATTCAATCATGTGTTCAGCACAGCTTGTAAATTCCCAAAGGGTACACAGTAAATAGAATGTAGGCTCATAACAAGTATTTCCCAGTTCTTAAGGTGGTTGAGAGAGACTGTACTCAGAAAATCTGACAACGAACTTGAAAAGAACAACTTGTTTTCAGAAAATTTCAAAAGTAAACTTCAAAATTACATGGCTGAGATCACTTGCGGCAATGGTGAAAGTAACACTGCTAAATGCAATGTTAAATGCAATTGCAATGCTAAGGCAATTCTAAATAGATAAATTAAATGACATTTGCTTTGGGACAATTTTATATCACTGTCGATTTCATGCAAAAAAATAAATGAACATGTTTCAGATGAATTTCTGTAAGAACAGTGGAAATGTAATGTACATGTTTACCTCAATTATTTTGTCCCAGACAGGACGGTGACCCACAGCGTCCCAGAGAGTGGCATGCTTGTCATGCCCACAGGTCAAGAACTGAGGTTTTGAGGCATGGACGGCCAGTCCCCAGAGCTCATCAGTGTGACCCTACAAAAAAACAAGACAAACGGAAGTTCTCTGAGTTACAACAGTCTGCACTCAGGAGCTGTAAGGGATGATGAACCGTGGCTTCATGCTGACTTCATAACTGCTCTCAACATTTTCTCTCCTCCCATCTTAGGGCAGCAACTGAAACTCTGAGGTGGAGGAAATTACCGTAGCATAAAACACAGTAATGAGGTACGTGCCAGACGGCATCACCTGGGGCTTAAGAAGCTGCAGACAATGGCCAAAAACAAATTAAGAGGGCCGAAGTCCAGGAATGTGTTTCACATAGCCAGCCAAAAAAACTTTAAGGCTAAAAACAAAGCAAAACCAGGTACCACTAATCTTAAGAAGATAAATATTACGAACGAAGAAAAAATTAACAGTAAATAAAGCTTTTGTAGATGTACAAAAGGAACTTGCACATTTCTCAAAAGGCCTTTCACTTGAACCTCTGCAGAAAGAACTGATTCCTCAGCAGCGTCATGAAAGCAAACCAGTTAATGTTGATGAAGCTACAAAATTAATGGCTCAGTTGTAAAACAGTAGTGATTCACCACAAAGATCAATAAATTAAATGTTTTATACAATTTTATTTAAAAAAAAAAACATAGTAATGAGCACTTCTTTGTAATGCTTGAGTAGAGTCTGATATAATGCAAAATGAGAATGTTTGCTGGGCCTGCTAAGTGGGATCGTACCTGAGTAATGGGTATAAAGTCCCCTGACAGAGTGCCCTGTAGGACAAAGTTTCGAGTTGTGCCAATCAAGATCACATCGCCTTTCCCCTCAGCCACGGTCCGTATTGGACCAAACTGTTCTGGAATCTGCATTGAAAAGTCATATGAAAAGAAAAGATATACCATTTCATTCAACTGTTAGCTCATTCATTCATTTATCATAACGATAGTTTCTATAACAGTTTTGTATATACATATAATGTACATTCAAATATATATGTTGTATATGCATATATACATATATATAAAGAGTTTCGGATAGATAGATACTACAGCCAGCGGGTGCAGTGGCTCACACCTGAAATCCCAGCACTTTGGGAGGCCGAGGTGGCTGGATCACCTGAGGTCAGGAGTTGGAGACCAGCCTGGCCAACATGATGAAACCCCATCTCTACTAAAAATACAAAAATTAGCCGGGCATGGTGGTGGGCAGCTTAATCCCGGCTACTCGGGAGGCTAAGGCAGGAGAATCACTTGAACCCAGGAGGCGGAGGTTGCAGTGGGCCGAAATTGCGCCACTGCACTCCAGCCTAGGCGACAAGATCAAAACTCCATCTCAAAAAACAAGGATACCACAGCCAACTATTGAGTGAGTGATCAAAACCCTAAGCCTCCCTTTTAAACTACAAATATTTTATATGTCTTAGAAGCATCAGCAAGAGTAAGGTTGTTCAGAAAAAGCATTTTCCTAGACAAAATTTAAAAATAAGGAATGCTACACATTAGTTTTCTCTTTACTTTTTACAACTTCTGATAGCAATAGTAGATACAATTTGGAAAGTAAAGAATAATATAGGCCAGGCGTGGTGGCTCACACCTGTAATCCCAGCACTTTGTGGGGCTGAGGCAGGTGAATTGCTTGAGCCCGGATGGTCCAGACTAGCCTGGGCAACATAGCAAGACCCCATTTCTAAAAAAAAAAAAAAAAAAAAAAGCGGGGCATGGTGGTGCATGCCTGTAGTCCTAGCTACTCAGGAGGCTGAGGTGGGAGAATCACTTGAGCCTAGGAGGTGTAGGCTGTAGATCACACCACTACACTCCAGCCTGGGTGACAGAGCCAGACTGTCTCAAAGAAAAAAAAAAAAAGAATGTAACACTGCCATAATACAACTTAAAATGGTAAATTCTTTGGCAATGTCACTCTGTTCAGTTTAAAAATCAACATAGATATACGGAATAATCTATGTTAAGAGATAGAATTGCAAAACACAGCCATTAAGAACAATTTGCTATGATGAAGAAACAAAGTCCTTGCACTATAAAAGAACAAACACTGCAGCTTGACCTTGGCGGGCTGCCATTAGGCTCTCCCATTCCAGGGTAAGCAGCAGCCTCCCCTCACTCACACTCTCCAGTGTGGCTTGTTAGAACAGATCTGAGACAAGTTGATGATGGCCCACACTAATGAGGAGGTATCAGATACTAACAAATAGTGAATCACTTTCATGAAATTAGATGGGGCTTCAGAGCTTTCTTTGCAGTTATAATGTGATATAGGCATGTCTATGACTCCAGCAATTCACAATCTGTTCAACCAAATGCTGGCCAAATCTTTTTTTTTTAAATGCTGGTCAAATCTTATTATTAAAAATGTTCTCACAACAGAATCTGCATGCAAGGGGAAGTGATTTCCAAACCTCAGATGAAGAACTTCCTTTATTAAGGGAAATAATCAACAGAACCAAATTTTCACACTGCCAGAGGATAGTGCCATGTTGCTCTCTGATGTCAAATGTAAGTGTTTTGTGTGTATCTGGGTTCAAAGTCCTACAATTTGTCCATTCTAAGTTAGGGATGAAAAGCATCACCTTGGCCATGTGCGTTGGCTCACGCCTGTAATCCCAGAACTTTGGGAGGTTGAGGCGAGTGGATCAAGAGGTCAGGAGATCGAGACCATCCTGGCTAACATGGTGAAACCCAGTCTCTACTAAAAATACAAAAAAATCAGCTGGGTGTGGTGGCACGTGCCTGTAGCCCCAGCTACTCAAGAGGCCAAGGCAGGAGAATCGCCTGAACCTGGGAGGTGGAGACTGCAATGAGCTGAGATTGCGCCACTGCACTTCAGCCTGGTTGACAGAGTGAGACTCTGTCTCAAAAAAAACACCCTTCAGAATGAGGCCAATTTTGCAGTGTCTGCTCATGATTTCCTGAAACCTGGTGGAGAAAATTCACTGAGTGGGAGGAAGGAATATTAGCTGTCTTGCCTCTGGTGCCAGGAATGCAGGGCTGCCAAGTAGGTAATGGAGAGGTCCATTGGGTAGCAAAATGAATCACAGCCCTTGGGAGCATGTTGAGTGCCATGTACAAAGTAGATACTCAACAAATATTAGTTCACTCAATGCAATAATGTCTCCAAAATAACATGCTAGAAATAAAAAGTTAAAGGAGGTGGCTGGGCACAGTGGCTCACATCTGTAATCCCAGAACTTCAGGAGGCTGAAGTTGGCAGGTCACGAGGTCAATAGATGGAGACCATCCTGGCCAACACGGTGAAACCCCATCTCTACTGGGCGTGGTGGCAAGCGCCTGTAGTCCCAGCTACTCAGGAGGCTGAGGCAGGAGAATTGCTTGAAACTGGGAAGCAGAGGTTGGATTGAGCTGAGATTGCACCACTGCACTCTAGTGTGGGTGACAGAGTGAGGCTCTGTCTCAAAAAAAAAAAAAAAGTTAAGCTTGGTGGCTCACACCTGTAATCCAGCACTTTGGGAAGCTGACGTGGGAGGATCGCTTGAGCTCAGGAGTTCCAGACCAGCCTCGCCAACATGGCGAAACCCCATCTCTACAAAAACTACAAAAGTTAGCCAGGCATGGTGGTATGTGCGCCAGCTACTTGGGAGGCTGAGGTGGGAGGATCGCTTAAGCCCAGGAGGCAGAGGTTGCAGTGAGCTGTGATCGCACTACTACACTCCAGCCTGGGTGACAGAGCTAGACCCTGTTCTCAAAAAAAAAAAAAAAAAGAAAAAGAAAAAGAAAAAGAAAAAGTTAAAAGAGAAGATAGATTTTTATAATAAATCAAAATGTGGGTAATAGTCCCTTGGAAAATTGAGAATAAAAATATTTTAAATATTAAGTGTGTTACAACCTCAAGTTTTATAAAACTAATTCTATTTTGTTAGCTGTATTTAACCTGCCTCCAGGATTTTAATACATTGCTTCCATACAATGTAATTTCATCTAAAGTTTTCAAAACTGTAAGCCACAGATTTCAAACGAATAAAAAAAGAATAATTGTTTAAGGTTAAAAACAAATTTCAGCAGTAGCCTTGCTGACTTACCTCAGTTTTACGAAGTCTTTGATAGTTTCCGCTCCAAGAAATGAGCTTTCGGTCTTTCCCGCCTCCGGACACCAGTGTGCCATCTCTTAACATACAAAGTGCAAAAATGCCACCCTCATGGGCCCCTTGAACCGCATAGCTTATTCGATTTGTGCCTAAACACACCAATAAACCATCATTAGCACATTGTCAAAAGGCTGCCTGCCCATTTTCTAATCTCATCTGACTTTGGTTTTTAAAGGCAATATTGTCAGTGAGCACATCATGGCAATATGAATCTATGAAGATCCAATTTCTAGACATTCACAGAGCACCAGACAAGCAGGAATGAAGGAAAATATGCGAACACTGCATTGTATGGTTGAAGCACCATGTGGCTGAGAAAGTGGGCTGTGAGTTTAGATCCCAGCTCTCTAGTGAGCTGTTTCTCTGGACAAGTGTCTTAGTTACTCTGTACTCAGTTCCCCCTTGGTGGAATGGGGCTGCTGCTCACCCTGCAAGATCGATCTAAGGATTAAATGAACTGCGGATAAGACAACTAGTGCCAAGAGCAGCAGGGATACTGGAAATGTCACCATATGCTTCTGAAATTGCATTTACGGGTCTGTCTCCACCTTCAGCCCCAACTACTCAAACTCTAAGATCCTTGATGACAGGGATGGTGGATTTTCCCTTTTTCCCTGTCCCTGCGTAAGTGCTCATAAACGCTCACTGGCCTTAACTGGACGCACACTTTCTGAGTGATGAATCTCCCTTAGTAAACTGTTTGTTCACGGACAGCAGGGGATTTGGGTCTGACTTGGTGGTATGTTCACAGTGTTTAACACATAATTAGCTTTCAATAAATGTCTGCCAAATGCTATATAAATCAGAATAGTTATTTAAATATTTTATAGACCTATAAGCAGTCATTAATTTCATCACTATAATCTGCCAGTAGATTATACATTATTAATTTCATCATTATAATCTGTCAGTAGATTTCCTAATCAACCTATTCAATTCCATCATAATATCCTGGGTTTAAGGAGCCCTTTGGAATGCTATGAGGTCAGTAACTCTTACTATTCTACGCTTTTCCTCTGTAACCTGAAATTTAATCCTACTCCTATACGTTGTATTAACAGACAATTCTTAAAGCACTCATGCTGAGCTCTTACAGCATACCGCAGACCACTGGCTTTGGGAACAACCACTTGTTACCTTTTCCCCAAACTAAGATGTTGCCACTCGAATCTCCAGTAATGGTGTCTCCGTTTTCAGAGAAAGTCACACAGAGGACGAACTTTGGCTTTTCTTGTTTCTGTGAAATGTAGTTAAAAAAAATGATAGATATAAAATTATATATATAATATATAGGTTAGTAATATATATTATATATAATTTTTAATATATATTAAAAATTAGTAGTGTATATAATATATAATCCATAAAACCTATATAAATATATCTAATTATAGATATAATTATATGTATATAAATATATAAATACATAAAAATATGTAAATATACATTTAACTATATAATTATATCCACATATAACTATATACATATTTATATATTTCTATACATATATTATTATTAATTTCATCATTATAATCTGTCAGTAGATTTCCTAATCAACCTATTTAATTCCATCATAATATCTTGGGCTTAAAAAGCCTTATATACATATATTATATACATATCTTATATGTATATAATTATATGTATATTTTATCCATGCAACCTATACACATATTCCAGACAACCTTTCATTTGTACTAATAACATCTAGATTCACAGTGGTCTCAAGCTGGAGAGTATCAGCTTCTGTAACTACCCTGCACACCGTGCATTTCCATTTACTATTACATAACTTCTGCTGCGAGATTAACTGCTCTAAGACAAAGTGATTTCTACCAACTCCAAGTGGCTGGGGAATCATAAAGCTGCAGACAGCTCAAGCAGAGGAGGGTTCTGGTCGGGGACAAGGGTGGGCTATGTTGTCAGTCTAAAGGGCAGGGCCTGAGCACCAGAATAAAGATGCCCTTGAAACGAGCCTCAGGGTAGTGGTAGCAGATGGGCCCCTGGGAAGAGGTGCTGTTCCCTGGTGCTCTTGCAGCCCCACAATGTCCACACAAAAGGCACAGGGAGTCTTTATCATCCTTTGCCAAGCCAGGTTGCCTGCCTCCCGATGCCTTCATCATCTGCTGCTCTCTGCAGCCAGCGCCACCGTGGGAGGCTCGGTGCTCCCTGGGTCCACATCCTTTCCCTGCCCTCCCCCGAGGAATGCTCTGTCCTTTTCTTCCCTTCATTACCAGTGTTATCCACCAGATTCAATGTGCTCCCCAACTATGTGAGAGATCCTGAGGGATCGTGTTGATTACCACAGCCCCCAGACAGACGCCTCTAGCCAACTGCATATACCACTCGGAGAAAGACAAAGCAAAAGGCATAATTTAACTTCACCTCGAATAATCCTTGCTTCTTATTCAGGGAGCTTCCTTCTAGTGTCCAAAAGTAGAGATGCGACTTTCCACAGGTGACTATGATGTTGGTGTCCGTGGGGTGGAAATCCGCAGCGAATACAGCTTCATTAGAGCACTATAGGAAAAACAGGGGACTCGGATGCCTCATATCTCTTAAGGTGCATAAGAGACACGTAGGAAAATAAGTCAAATCTGAGTCACAAATAAATAACAAATTCAAGCCAAGCAGGATGCCTCTTGATTACTTCCCCCATTGACTCCAACTGGCTAGAAACATCAAGTGGATGGTGTGGACCCTAATGCCGCCTCCTAGTCTGTCTCCCCCACTGGACAATGAGCCCTTGAGGACAGGGAGCACACTTGAGTCCTCTGTCTATGCTAGGGCCTCTCCCAGGGTCAGGCACGGAGCGGGCATGCAGCATGCTTTGCTGAGGAGGGAGTTAGAGCACAGGGACTAAAGAACTCCAAGTGTTTGCTCTCATCTGCCAGTCATGGGTTCCCAGTCTGGCTTCAGGACAGAATCGCCACAAATGGTAAAATGCAGATCTCTAGGCCTCACCCCCGCATCTAGTGAATGCAACCTCCAGGGAGGGCCCAGGAATGGATTTCACAAAGGTCCATTGTTCCTGGCTGACTCTGGCTGCCTGTTTCCCCAGGGAGTCCCTCCTAGTTCTGCCTCCTGGGACACTGCCTGCGGCTCAGTGACCCAGGCTGGGGTCCTGTGGAATAGATCTAACTCTTCGGGTATCACCTCCACCACCCTCAGCTCACATCCTAACTTCTAAGACCCGAACCTTGGTCTCCTGGATTGGGCTCTGATCACTGCTTCTACTTAATAATCCAGTTACACATTCTTGAGCCTGGATAATAACCTGCCTCTGATGCCTTCTAACCCAGCAACATAGCAAGAAGCATTTAAACACCTGCCCAGAATATCAGAAGGCAGGGCTAGGGCATGAACACAGGTGTCAGGGAACATGCCTGGTTAGAATACAAGGCCTGCCCCTAGACATGCAGGAGAGAAAGTTAGGTGGGTAAGGATATCTAAGGGTAAAAGAGGCAAAGATGAGAAATCTGAATTCAATTCTATAGAAATAGGAATCCAATAGAAAACAGAAATAGAAAGATATCAGAAAGTCAAGGCAAGGGAATTTGACATATTGTGCAAAATGGATTAGAGGCGGTCAAAGAGGTCCCAAGAGGCCCCTTGCAGGAGGAATCCCATTGGGAAGGATTTGGGGTTCAGTTGGGGGCTCCCGTTGGTCTTTCCTGAGTCTGTTCCCCTTTGGAGGAGCCCCTGTGCTCGCAGCCCCTGTCTGTACCTGCCCTTCCTGCAGCTGCAGGGGCTCAGGCAGTGAGGGCACCTCACGTCTAAGCAGACCTCCAGGAGTCCATGTGCCGTGCAAGCACACAGCAGGCGCATGGGGTGTGTCAAGCAAATCACAGAACTAGCCAGCAAATACAAGATTGGATGGATTAATAGGGTAGTGGCTATAAAATGAGGAAGAAAACAATCTTACAGGCATGGTGAAAAGAGAAAAAAACCTAACAGGACCTGGGGTTAAAGTCCCATGAGGGGACAGGGGCCGGGGCCAAAGGATTCTAAGGTGAAGGCATCATATGCAAGGGCTGGGGTGGGAATGGGCCCTGGAGCCCGCTGAAAGGGGGCTATAGCTATGCCAGGGCAGCTCTGGAAATTAATTAATTAATTAATGAAAACATTAATGCAGCCTGGAAAAGGCTTGGAGCATGACCTTCACATCGGCCAATTTTTCTTCTTTCTGCCAGTCCCATACAGAGAGCACGTGGTCATTGGAGTCATCCACAGCACAGAGATTGGTTCCTCCATTCTGAAAAGAAAGTTATTCACAGGAAGACTACATCTGAGAATAAAGTGGGTTGAACATGATTAAAAATGAACAGCACATTTTATTTTTAATAGTCTGCTACACTGTAAAGAATACTCATCCAATGCTTTTGAGATCTGCTTTTTTTCTTTCTTTCTTTCTTTTTTTTTTCTGGAGACAGGGTTTTGCTCCGTCACCCAGGTCAGAGTGCAGTGATGCAATCATGGCTTTCTGCAGCCTGGATCTCACAGGCTCAAGCAATCCTCCTACCCCAGCCTCCTATGTAGCTGGGACCACGGGTGAGTACCACCACTCCCAGCTAATTTTTATTATTATTATTTGTAGAGATGGGATCTCCCTATGTTGCCCAGGCTGGTCACAAACTCCTAGACTCAAGCAGTTCTCCTAGTTCAGACTCCTAAGGTGGTGGTTAGGAAGTATGAGCCACTGTGCGTGGCTGAGCCACTGTTCCCGGCCGAGACATGCTTTCTTGGCCAGACAGAAAGAGTAGGTAAATGATGGGTAATGAAGAAACAGGGGAAGGGAGGGACCAAGGGCTGTCTCTTCATCACTGGGTTCCATGAAAACAAGGGCCCCTCCTAGAGCAGACAGTGCCCAAAGCAGGCACAGCACAGGGGCTGTTACCAGCTGTGAGCCTGGCCACTGTGGGGCTGCACGAGGACTCAGCACTGGGGGTGTAAGTGCACAGGAGCACGGGGGTTATCTTCGGGTGAACACGAGCACATGTGTATGGATACAGATTTCTGAAGTGGTTTAAAAGAGTGTCTGCTGAACCTGCACATCCTGGGGAAGGCTAGAAGACCACAAGGCCCTGTCCAACCCCTGCTTGTGTTGAGGTTTCCTGCCAGCCACGATGGGATTGTCAGAGGCATTTGAGTCAGAGCAACACCATATTGAATGGGGGCTGGGTAAAAATAAGGTTGAGACCTACTGGGCTGCATTCCCAAATGGTCAGGCATTCGAGGTCACAGAATGAGATAGGAGGTTGGCACAAGACACAGGTTATAAAGACTTTGCTGATAAAACAGCTAGCAGTAAAGATGCTGGTTAAATCCCACCAAAACCAAGATGGTGGCAAGTGACCTCTGGTTGTCGTCACTGCTACACTCCCACCAGCACCAGCACCATGAAAGTTTGTAAATGCCATGGCAACACCAGGAAGTTACCCTATATGCTCTAAAACGGGGAGGCATGAATAATCCACCCCTTGTTTAGCATATTATTAAGAAATAACCATAAAAATAGGCAGCCAGCTGCCCTCGGGCTGCTCTGTGTATCGAGTAGCCAAAATCAGCCAGTTGGTGTGTACAGATGATTTTTCTTTTATTCCTTTACTTTCCTAACAAACTTGCTTTCACATAATGGACTCACCTAGAATTCTTTTTTGCTTGAGATCTAAGAACCCTTTTTGGGAGTCTCTATGGGGACCCCTTTCTGGTAACATTTTTCTGGTGACCATGAAGCAAAGACACTGAGGAAACCTCCAACCCAAAGGCTGCCCTTGGGTAAGTGATAGGGTCCAGTGACATGTTCCTGGCAACCACAGAAGGGACAATACTGAGAAAACCTCCCATCCAAAGGCTAACTTTGAGTAAGTGGTGGGGTCCGGTAACATCCTTCTGGTGAATCCCAAAGGGATGATACTGAAGAGACCCATGAACCAAAGAAAAATCATCTGTACACACTAACTGGCTGATTTTGGGTAAGTGGGGTGCATATACTGGGGGAAAGGATGGGATTGGGTTAGAGGCCCAATTTAAGAGTCTCTCCTAAGACAGAGTGGGTTAAAGGCCCCTCTTCATAACAGGCAAGAATGCTTGACAGACTTTGGGTTCGAGGCCCAACTTAGGAAGGTAATAGTCCTTCCTAAGATGTAGGGGGTTAGAGGCCCCGTCAGTAAAGTTCCTTTCAGCTAAGAACAGGTTTGGCATTATGGTATGTTAACTGCTATTCTTTTTGGATTAATCTGCTTTGCACTCTTTGCTGATGGCTAAGAGTGACAGAATTAGGCATGTACAAGATCATGGGACATGGGGAATTTTTTCCTCCCCAAAAGGGGAAACTTAAGAGCTGATGGGACTCCTGGCAAAGATCCCTTCATTATCAACAAGCGGCCACCTGAACTTTTCAGTGTCGCTGCAGTGGGCAGGTCTTTCTGTGGCCTCCCTGAGCTCTTCACCTTCCCTGCCCTGCCACAGGCAATGCTCTTCTCTCTCTCCTTTCCCTTTCCATGTTTTCTGTTACTCAGGGCCACCATCTTGCCCAGAGACCGTAAGCTGAAACTCCTGGTTGGAGGCTGGATTAACAATGATGGGGCCAATCAGGGGCATGTTTGAGCTTTGCCAATTTGATATTGGGTGCTAACCTGAATGGCTAATGTCTACGTTTTGTCATATGTATTTTGCTCTGGCCAGGATGGAAAAAGATAATTTTCCATTATGATGCAGCTTGGCCCCCAGCGCTATGGTGCAGCTAGCCGGGTCACTAGGGCTGCTCAGGGAAAGGGAACCCAGAAGCCTGCCATGCCAGCAAAAAGATAAGAATTTCTTATAGTCAGGCTTCTGGCCTTTCTCTCTCTCCCTCTCTCTGTGCAAACTGGTTGAATGAATGGTAAAAATCACTGTTTATCTCCTGCAAAGTTTTGATTAACAGGAAAAAAGGATTTGTGAGGCTAATCTTAAGCTGTAGAGAAGCTGTTGTACTGTGTGTTATAAATTTGTCTTTCTATATCATTCTGTCATAGAGAGGCGTACCGTAGGATAGAATGTGGGCCTAGGACCCTTATAAGCCCACTGTTCAAGACAGCACAGCAAACTGGTCAGTTATAAATTTTGCTGCAGGTACCTGAAAAAACACTAGATAAAGTTTCTCTCTTATCTTGTTTCTTGTCCTTGGGAGCTTGGCCTTGTAACCACATGGCAGTACTTTATCTTGGTCTCTGCTATCACAATGGTAGCCTGGAATCAGTGTTCAATTCCGAGCTTAGGGAATGAGGCCTGTATTTCCTGTCTATGTATTTATATGTATTATGCGTGTAATGTTTGATTAACTGGCGCAATAAGAGCTTAAATCAAATATTTTGTCAGAAGAGTAAAAAGTGTAATGCCTTTCAGTTCACATGACTTAAGTAATTTTTGGGAAATAAAAACAGTTTTACATATAAAATGAATACAGAAAGTGAAATCTGTTTTTGGTAATAGATTATAAGAAGGCATGGAAATGTGGGTTTTTTCGGCCTAGATTAAAAGGTTAAATGATTGCTTTAAATTAGATAGGCTAAAGCTGAAGGTTTAAGCAAGCTGTTGAAGGTTTGTGAAAAATTAACCTTGTAAAAGAAATTCTGTGTGAACATACTGGCTAAAGTTAAAGGGGTATTATTCAGTTTTTCTGTAAATTAAATGTTGGAATAAAAGCACAATAGATTTTTCTTTGAGCAATGATCTGCTTTTTAACAAAAATTGTAAGGGGTTAATAAAAGGTTTATAAAAATCTTGCCTTACGGTCATACTGATTAAAATTGAATAGATTGGCCAGGTGTGGTGGCTCACGCCTGTAATCGCTGCACTTTGGGTGGCTGAGGTAGGTGGATCACTTGAGGTCAGGAGTTTGAGACCAGCCTGGCCAACATAGTAAAACCCACCTCCACCAAAAATACAAAAAAATAGCCAGGTGTGGTGGTGTGCACCTGTAATCCCAGCTCCTCAGGAGGCTGAGGTGAAAGAATTGCTTGAACTCAGGAGGCAGAGGTTGCAGTGAGCTGAAATCGTGCCACTGAACTCCAGTCTGGGTGACAGGGTGAGACTCTGTCTCAAAAAAAAAAAAAAATTGAATAGATTTGTCTATAAGGTTTTATTAAGAATATTTAACATCAATAGTACACTAACATAAAGGTGAAATTTGGCTTGATATAAAAGTCATACAGGAAGCACTGTCAAATAGGAAATTGACTTTCTTTGGGCTGTTTGTACAAATATGTTACTGGTATGTATTCCAAAATTAGGTGAAACTCCTATAATTCTGATATAACTTACTGTATGTTATTAATAGTTGTAATTGTTACAGTAAATTATTGTATGGTCCAGGAGTAACTGCATTTCCTTGTCAATTGTGGTTTTAATAGTGGCTGTCCTAATACTTTTTGCCATTCACAAACAATTCTTCTCTTGTTTTGGTCCTATTTAAAAGCTGGCTTATAATCAGCTATAGGCCTTTAACAGGTGCTCTTCAATGCAAGTTTCTGATAACTTTCGAAGTTGTAACATTAGAATAGAGGAAAAAACTTTCAGGACTCTCTTGGAGGGTTCAAATGTTCCTGAATCTCAAAGCAGAACAGGAGTTAACTGCATGAACCAAACCAACAGTAGACTGGAGTCACCTTTTTCAACTTTGCTTAAAACGTTGCTGATCCTTTGTTTTTTTCCAAAGTCAAAAAAAGCTTTTCTTTTGAGCTATTTAGAGCTTTTAACAATCAAGTATACTGCTATGAACAAAATTTGAAGCATATTTGTTTCTCTCTACCTGGTTTCTCCAGAATTTAAAAACTATGTATGAATATTCTTAATTTATGGCAATACTGTTATTTGCATAAGTGTAAAGAATCTGCTTTCATTTGTAACAGGACACAACTAGAGAAACTGGTTATTTTACCAAGGCTTTGCCTGGAATGGCATGCTTTCCTTGAAGAAATCAAATTTGAATTGCAGAGCCAATAGAACCCCCTTGGGGGAAACTGGCCTCATACCTTGTCTCCACAGTCCTGTACAGGGTTCCTGACTTATGGTAAGTAAAGAATGTCACTTTCTCACAGGCTCAGGAGCCAAGTTATCTTGGGAACTCCAAGAGGAGGGGAATTTACCCAACTCATAGGTATTTGAGGATATATAAATCCATGGCTGGGCTTGGCTTTAAAAAGGTCATCTGAGATTCCTTATGGAACAGCATTCCATCAAAGCAAATTTTAAAAGCCTATGTGCAAAATAATGATTCTTGCTGCACTTATACAAATAATGAAGCCAAGTATATAAGACTTGGGCTTATTTTTGCAAACAGATCAGTCTTACGGTTTGTCTTTAGTAAAAATGAGAGACTGGAGAGAGAAATTATGTTTCAAGAACTGTGGTATATTTGTTATTAGATTCTAGTCTCATCAGTTATTTTTAAATTTTTCTGCAATTTAGACTAACCCAACTTATTTCTATGAACCAACCAGTGATCTCTGACTGCTGCTCAGAATAAATAAGAGTGATGGGTAATGTAAAATCTGGATCAGTATTCTAATTCTGGACACATTGGAATCAGCTAGGTTCCAACAGTTGCCCAGTTCATAAAAAGCCCTCTTACTTAGTTTACTTGGGATAATCTTGTTTATTCTGCTTTACTGTTGTGGAATATATTGCTGTTGTGTAGGAATGCAGGATTAGCTTACTCAATGTTTTCTTAAATTGAAAACTTATTAATCTTCCAGATATCACCTTGCCATACTGATGCTTTCTGACTGAGCTCTTCTCTGCCCCAAATACAAGAGACCCTAACAGTTAGGCAGGAATATCGTCACTCCTATTCAGCCTGAAAAAGTTACAAAGATGAATCTTTGTCCCTCTACAACCCTTAGGATTAAGGATTCTCTTATAAAAGGGAGGGGAGAAACATCAGAGGTGTTTGAACCACAGCAACTTGAATAGGAGCTGGGTAAAACGAGGCTGAGATCTACTGGGCTGCTTCCCACACAGGCATTCTAGGTCACAGAATGAGACAGGAGGTTGGCACAAGACATAGGTCATAAAAATCTTGCTGATAAAACAGCTTGCAGTAAAGAAGCCAGCTAAATCCCATCAAAACCAAGATGGCAACAAGAGTGACCTCTGGTTGTCCTCATTGCTACACTCCCACCAGTGCCATGACAATTTACAAACGCCATGGCAACATCAGGAAGTTACCCTATATGGTCTAAAAAGGGGAGGCATGAATAACCCACCCCTTGTTTAGCATATCATCAACGAATAGACATAAAAATGGGCAACCAGCAGCCCTTAGGGTTGCTCTACAGAGTAGCCATTCTTTTATTCTTTTACTTTCCTAATAAACTTGCTTTCACTTTATGGACTTGCCTTAAATTCTTATGAGAGATTCAAGAACCCTCTCTTGGGGACCCCTTTCCAGTAGTAGGATGGCAGAGACACTCTGGAGCCACCCTCGAAGGGAGCAGGTAAAATTCAAGGCCAGAGCAGGCAAACTTCCTTAAGGAAAGTGAGGATGATGTCTTTGGGGGCCTCTTTTAATCATTAAACCCATGTGGCTGGAGACATCTGATTGGCCCTGATGAGACATGTATATGACCTCGGACTGAGGGGTCCTGGGAAGCAGGAATGTTTCACAGTCCAAATCTGTACATACACCCAGACAGTTATAACCCTTCCTCTTTAACCCTGAGTTGATTCTCTACTTCTTGTGGAAGAAGACAGGAATACCCACGGGGCACATACTTACAGATTTTGAGAATGCAATACAGGTGACTGCTCGGTCAAAAAAACCTATACCAATGACGTGGAGAGTATTCAATGTCACAGAATCCCAGATGCGCACATGTGGGGGCAATTGCTGTTCAGAAAAAAAATGCAGAGCCATCAATTGTGATGATTATACACATGTCTTTACTTTGAAGCTACGTGATTATTTGGGCAGTAACTTGGACTTTGTCAAAACTAAAGATCTTTATCTGCATTTCAAGAGTCTGGCTTTTTATGTAAATAAAACATTCCCAGTGGCTTCAGGAGGTGGAGAGCTTTGTTGATAATTTAACAATAAGGAGAGGTCTACTGAGTTTTAGAATTTGAATGGCCAATTTTTGACAATAGTACCACAGGAACTGACACTTTAATTTGTGCACTAGATGTGTCTGAATCTTAGAAATGAAAAATGACAAGTAAAATGGAATCTTACATATGCCTTATTCTTTTAAAGTCTGTTTTGTTGCTAAGGTGTCACCATGCCTAAGTTCATAAGATGGTCACCACCAAATAATATTAAGAGCTTAACAGGCTGAGTGTAGTGGTTCATGCCTGTAATCCCAGCAATTTGGGAGGCTGAGGTGGGTGGATCACCTGAGGTCAGGAGTGTGAGACCAGCCTGACCAATATGGTGAAACCCTCTATCTACGAAATATAAAAAATTAGCCATGTATGGTGGTGCACGCCTGTAATCCCAGCTACTTGGGAGGCTGAGGCAGAAGAACTGTTTGAACCCAGGAGGCACAGGTTGTAGTGAGCCAAGATTGCACCACTGTACTCCAGTCTGGGCAACAAGAGCAAAACTCTTTCTCTAAATAAAAAATTAAATAAAAGAGCTTAACATTCTTGGGCAAAACAGACACCAATTATGTACAAATAAGATTTAGAATTGTTAGAATTGTTTTAAAATCCTCTCAACTGTGTTCCTAGGTTATTTACACTAATTTTTCTCTTCCTTAATAGAAGAAAGCATCATAGAGCAACCGGCATATTTATCAACAAGAAAAGGTGCTGGCATTGAAATTAGCACAAACACTAGGCAGGCGTTAGGTGATCCAGGTTCTAGTTCAGTCTAATCTCTAAGTAGCTGGGTGTCCACAGGCATTCACTGGGCCTCTGCGGATTTCTCTACGGGTAAACTGAAAGACAGCTATAACATTTTTCTCTGGATCTTAAGTTCTGATTCAATTTCAATGCCAGAAACTGAAATATACTTTTAAGCCACTAGAGGGAGGGACAAATGGCTTACCACTAATTTCAAAGAATTTTTCAAGGCCATTTAACATTAAAAAAAAAAGAGAGAGAGAAAGACCCATTCTATTTAAGTGAATTTACATAATAGTGGTCTGATTTCCATTATTTCTCTTAACTATTTTCAAGTATAAAATATTAATAAAGGTCAGGCGCAGTGGTTCACCCTGGTAATCCCAGCATTCTGGGAGGTCGAGGTGGGCGGATCCCTTGAGCCCAGGAGTTTGAGACCAGCCTGGGCAATGTGGTGAAACGCTGTCTCTACAAAAAATACAAAAATTAACTGGGCAAGGTGGTATGTGCCTATAAGCCCAGCTACTCAGGAGGCTGAGGTGGGAGGATTGCTTGAGCCTGGGAGGCAGAGGTTGCAATCAGCCGTGATGGTGCCACTGCATTACAGCCTGGGCAACAGGCTGAGTGAGAACTGTCTCAAAAAACAAACAAACAAACAAAAAAGTTAATGGAAAATAGCATAAAATTAATATTTAAAATCTAATGTTATTAAAATATTTTCTGAAATAGGGAAGTATTCATTTTTTTTCTGGATGAAAACATGTTGAGAAAATGGATGTACTTAAACAAATTACTTTTCAGATAAAATATTATGCAACAGCAAGTGACATAAAGTAGATATCAAAAAAGCTACAAGCTCCCTCTCTAACGCCTTAACATGCAAATTAAAATCTTGCTGAAGTGCTTGCAAAATTTGTGCTAAAAACCTCCTAGTAGCTTTTGTGACTTGCACACAGACACAAACTCCATGGGGTAAAGTCATCATTTAACAATCACAGGACAGGGCAGAGGGTGGCTGAACTTTGGCAAAATGTTGTATATTAGAATTATTATTTATTATAATTTTAACTTCATTAAAATTATAAATTTTAATGCTTATGTATATAAACAAACATCTTAAGAATTAGTGAATTCTTTGTTCAGAACAATGCTATTTAAAAATCTGATGAAATCAAGACGCACTCCAGGGGTTTTTAAGGTCAGAGTAAGTATTTTTTTTTTCTTTTTTTGAGACTGAGTCTCTCTTTGTCACCCAGGCTGGAGTGCAGTGGCACAATCTTGGCTCACTGCAACCTCCGCCTCCCAGGTTCAAGTGATTCTCCTGCCTCAGCCTCCCAAGTAGCTGGGATTTCAGGCATGAACCACCGTGCCTAGCTAATTTTCATATATTTTTAGTAGAAACAAGTTTTCACCACGTTGGCCAGGCTGGTCTCAGACTTCTGACCTCAAGTGATCCAGCCCACGTTGGCTTCCAAAAGTGCTGGGATTACAGGCGTGAGCCACCACGCCCTGCCACACAGTAAGTCTTCTAATTTACAATAAGAAATTCTAGTGAGGGGTTTAGAAGTTTTCAGATACCATAATTATATCTAAGCAGCCTTACTCCACAGCATAATGTTTTCTAAAAATTACTCTGTTGCCAGTTCATTACAAAACGGTGAAAAGGTAATGTAACTCACTTTTCCATCCTTCGATGTGCCTGCGACTTGTCCTGTTGCTATCGTGATCCGATCAGGATGAACTGCTAGGCTAAGAAAAGGATATTTATAAAACATCTACACGTTGCAGTAAGTTTTACTTTTCCCTTGCTCAAATATAATCTAATCAAAAATTTAAATATAAGAAATACATAATGCCTGACTTCTTAAAGACTCACAACAAATTCTCTGAGCACCATGGCGTTAGACAACTAGTGCCTATTTCATTTCATCTTAATTCCCTTATTTCTTCTTAAGAATTTTCAAACTTAAGGGAAAAGCAACCTCTGTTGGGAAAATACTATTTCATCCTCAGAACTATACATTAGTCTGCAATCTTTATTAAGAAGCCATGTTGAGTATATCAAATAGGAAAGATGCCATCTTTCACCAACAGGATTTTTATCATTGACCAAGGAACCAGGACAAATACAAATTATAAATCCACCTCTTCATGCATCCATCCTTCCAAGATAAGTAAATTGCCTACTTATTTTATGTATCATCCATAAATCCCCATTGTGGAAGACACGTAAAATTATGGGAGGAGCTGACTCAGCCACAAACATGAGGCAACACGTTTTTATGTTTATCAAAAAGTAAAGACCCAAATTAGAACCCTTTAACATATGATGTGTTAAGAAGGTCTCCAAACAGGTGGCACTCTTTGTTGATGTAATGTGGTCCCTTAAGCTCATGTGCTGGTGAGGCTGGAAAGCTAAGTATGAGAGGTGTTTCACAGAGCAGAGTAGCTAGCAGACCATACAGAGAACACACAAAAGAGCTTTCCCCAAAGATCTCACTTCCTCAGACCCTCTTCCTTCTCTTTAGTTATGTCCCAATACCGACCATGTTCTGCTAATACTATTTCCACCTGTGCAATAGAAAACACATTTATTTATTAATTTTTTTAGAGACAGGGTCTCACTGTGTTGCCCAGGATGGTCTGGAACTCCTGGCCTCCATCAATCCTCCCACCTCAGACTTCCGGGTAGCAGGAATGACCTGTTTTAGGACTTACCACTTCACATCATCGTTGTGGCCAGCGTAATGCCTCTGCAGCTGCTCCTCCACATTGTATAACACCACCACAGACGCGATGAAGTAGACGGTCTCTCCCGTGGGAAGCAAGTACAGGTTGTTACGGCAGTCTCGACCCCTGTACCCATAGCTTTGTGGATGTCAAGATAAAATGTTTTTTCCCTTTTAAGAGCTCACAAAACATCAGCTTTATTCAACAGGCATAGGCAATAAAATATCATGTAACTATTACCATTAGTGCCACTAATTTAAATAACATGAAATTGCAAATACTCGGTGACAAATACACGTGACCCCCAAAAGGCATGAAGTAAAGTTGGAAACAGTCATTGATGTGATGTGAATGCATATTTTTACAAAGTTGGTTTTATTTTTAGAGAGATATTGAGTCAATTATTAATCTTTTAACTATAATCTATGAGCTAAATTTTTTTACTAAAAAATTTCTTTTTTAAACATGATAAAGGTACTTACAAGGGTACAAATGACATATACACATGCACTCGAGCATACATAAAAGGTAAAACAAAAAAAAAAAAATCAGGTCCCTCAGCACCTTTGGGATAAGAATCCCTGTTAAAGTTTTGGCATTATACTTCCAAACCTTGAAAATTATTTTATTTTGAGAACAAAACATCACTTGAACTTAGATGTAAAAAGTAACCTGGTTAAAAAAAAAAGCCATTTATTTTGAGCAAATTTCATTGCTTTATGTCTTCTAAAATATGAACAGGAAGTAGGCTGAATAAATGTTTTGAATAATGTTTTCCAGATTTGATGTAAACATTGAGTAAACCACTACTGACTAAAAGACAAGCTGAAGCACTTCAATTTCATGTATCAAAATAGATTCTAAAACAGGTGCCCGTGAATGCCTATAACATTTTAATCTGAAAAAATTAAAAATGTATTTTTGGGGAGAAATTTAAGTACAGGTAGAAATTTTAAAAAATTTCTAAAGAATATGATTCTGTAATCTCAAATAGTAATTCTTCTAAGTGAAGTCAAAATCAACATCTTATGATCTGTGTTCCAGGCTTGGCATTACGTACTCAACAAATATTTGAGGGCAAAAAAAAAATTTTTTTTGGCCTTAAAATCTGCATAGACTGAAAGGTGGTCTCTGTAGGCGTCCTCTAATGTAATAAGGAAATAGAAATAAATGGAAACATGATCAACATTTAATTCATCTTTTTCACAGTTTCTATTTTCTTATCTTTCGGTTGTTTTTTTCCCTGGAAGCTCACTTTTTTAAAACCTCATACCATGAAGCTGCCAGCAACTGTTTCAAGAACATTAGTTATATGGTTGATTCAGATTTTTGTGGCCTCGATTTTTGGGGAGTCTTTTTGATCTATATTAATATATATATATTTGGGACAGGGACTTGCCATGCTACCCAGGTTGGAATTGAACTCCTGAATCCTTCCGCTTAAGCCTCTTCTTTAGCTGAGACTACGGGGTGCATCACAGCAGCTATTCCTTTTTTTAAAATAAAAAAAAATAGGATGATATCTACATGACATGTCAATTTCATTTACATCATTCATTTGGCTCCCTTCATTCAGTACTTTGATATTCATATTTTTCTATCGTCCCTTCAGTCAAGGTCACTCTTGAAGTTAGACTCCTAAGGCTGGCCAAGGCCATACTTGGTTTAAGGGAAGAATGCTAGTCCTCCTTTCAGAGTACCCCTCTTTCTTTGTTTGGGTTTAAAAACTTTTTTGCCGTGTGGTTTAGTTTCAATTTTTGATATTCCTATTCCCTCATTCATAAGTACAATATTTTCCTGCATTGTTGCTGTTGTTTCCTTATAAATATATAGTGCCTAGTTTTCCATCTGTCCCTGCAGAGTTGACTAAGTATATGGTAGCTCCTGTTAAGAATAATTGGCTTGGCCGGGCGCGGTGGCTCAAGCCTGTAATCCCAGCACTTTGGGAGGCCGAGGCGGGTGGATCACGAGGTCAAGAGATCGAGACCATCCTGGTCAACATGGTGAAACCCCGTCTCTACTAAAGATGCAAAAAATTAGCTGGGCATGGTGGCACGTGCCTGTAATCCCACCTACTCCGGAGGCTGAGGCAGGAGAATTGCCTGAACCCAGGGGGCGGAGGTTGCGGTGAGCCGAGATCGCGCCATTGCACTCCAGCCTGGGTAACAAGAGCGAAACTCCGTCTCAAAAAAAAAAAAAAAAAAGAATAATTGGCTCGGCTGGGTGTGGTGGCTCATGCCTATAATCCCAGCACTTTGGGAGGCTGAGAGGGGCAGATTACAAGGTCAGGAGCTAGAGATCAGCCTGACCAACATAGTGAAACCCCTCTCTACTGAAAATACGAAAATTAGCTGGATGTGGCAGTGCACATCTGTAATCCCAGCTACTCAGGAGGCTGAGGCAGAAGAATCGCTTGAACCCAGGAGGTGGAGGTTGCAGTGAGCCGAGATCTTGCCACTGTACTCCAGCCTGGGTGACAGAACGAGACTCCATCTCAAAAAAAAAAAAAAAAAAAAAGAGTTGGCTCCTGGCCAGGTGTGGTGGCTCACACCTATTATCCCAGCACTTTGAAAAGCTGAGGTGGGCAGATCACTTGAGTCTAGGAGTTCACAAACAGCGTGGACAACACAGGAAGACTCCATCTCCTAAAAAAAAAAAAAAAAAAAAGGAAAAAAATCAGTTTATTCTCATTAGAATCTAAAATTTTATCCCTTCTTGATTATTTTCACTGTTTGCTTCTTTATATATTTTTAACTACTACTGTCATTCTTTTGAAAAGAATAAAATTCGGACCAGAAACTAGTGATTCATTTTCTTCTGACAAAGAAAAAATCAACTCATACAATCATATAACATCTTCATATTTTCTTTTCAGGAAAATAATACATTTGAGTCAGAACCACAGCTATTCTGCTCAGGAATGATAAGTTGAAATAGTAAGTTTTGTTATATTAAGTTTTAAAAATAGGAGTAAAACATTTTGTTTTTTAAAAGCTTAAGAGAATTTAAGTTTTATGAATTTCTATAGTTAACATCAAGCATTGATTGACTGATAACTTCATGTAAGACCTAACTGATGAACAAAGGATACACCCATTCCAGCTTGAGTCTCTTGGCTGGAAGTTCTACTTTTGCTTCCAAGTTGTAAGAATCCACCTGGTCTTTGGGCATGTACATGGTAACAGGGCGTCCACGAAGAAACATTTTTACATAGCCTTCTTCTACAAAAAGAACAAAGATGTCAGTAAGATATCTCAGTGCCCAGCGTACCAGAAAATAAGTGCTGTACCCTCTCTAGCCTTTTGGTGTAAAAGAGAAACTTTAACCCTTCTGTCATTTCTAATTGATATCCTAGGGAAAAAAGTAACATAAAAGTAAACAGTTTTGTTTGAAATAAAAGTCTGCATCTTGTTTGCTTCTGATATTCTGTTTACTTAAGTACATGAGATATGTATGAAATTACGAAAAGCAGGAAGGAACTTGATTCCAACAGTGATTTTCCATGAGGTTTTACTGCTTACACACTTTCTTTTCCCATCAGTAGGGGAAAAAATGCCATCCCTCTAAAATTCAGCTAACACAAGAAATCCACTTAAAGTTTTTGAGTTCAATGTATACACAATCTCACTATCCAAAGTCACAAAATATTTTTCAATATTTAAATGGATTTGTTATATTGCAATGTAAAAATATATCTTTATGCATCTTTTAACTGGACAATTCTTTTAAGTGTAAAGAATACAACATCAGCAGAAGTGCATGCTAGGATGCAACACAAAAAGGAAAATGCTGAAAGAAAATCTAGATATGGAAAACAAAAGAACAAAAGACTCATTAGAGAGAGAAATCAGGATGCAAACCTCTCTAGAACGAACGTTTCCATAATAACTTTTACTATTTCAATAAATTATAGGGACTAAAGTAAATATCAACAATATATTGACACAGGGTGACTCCTAGACCGTAAAAAGAACATCTTGGGGTGTTCTGACTGGAGTTCTCAAGATATGGTAAGGGCAAAGAAAATGTCTTTGAGCTCCTGGTGAATTCCATTCAGATTCAGAACTCACTGAATTCTGAAACTTCACTGCAGATCAAAGGACCTGGTCTTAATGGCATTTAAATTGGGGAGTTGGAACCAGGGATACCTGTATACAACTCAACAGAAAAATCATCTGCAGGGAGGAAATTGGCAAGGAACAGTTAGGAAATATAGGAAATAATTATAGTACAAGTTAGTTTTAGAAGTCTTATTCTCAAGGATTTTCAAACAATGCCATACATGCAATATTATTTAAATATTGAGAGGGCATCCCAGTTTTATGTTATTGTGTGCATGCGCCTCAGGTCTTCAATGCATGCATGTGACACACTCTTCACACTGCATATTAAGACTGACGTTGAGTCAGAGTCATGAACGTGATCATCCCTGCCTGTGTGTGCCAGCCACTGTGTCCCATGGATCCTCCCTTTGAATGTCTCCCACGCTGGTGCCAACTTCCCCAGATGCACTGGGGCCCCATCACCACAGGCTCTCTTATGGCTCTCCCGGGTCAGCTGACACACTGCTGCCAAACCCACCAAGGCTCAAACCAGATTTTATGGAGCCCTTCTTCCATGTAAATTTCTTCACCTGCTCTCCTCCTTGCTGGATCCAGCAGGTCTAAGTGCCCTGCTAGGCTCTCACCGCACAGGACCTCATCTGCCACAGCAACCCACGGGGATTCTCCCTGGGGCCAGGTGTGTCTCTTCGCCATCCCCTACACCCTGCCTTATCTGTGCTGCTGCTCATGCTGTTCTCCTCTGAAGCTTCTTCCCTTCCTTAACTCTCACCTAAATCTAAGCTCAGAAGGGGCTGTGTGGCTACCACAATTGAAGAATCTAAAGCACCTAAAAGACTGACATTGTTGAAAAGAGGGGCAAGAGACTGGAATCGACAGCTAAATGAAGAGAAATTCTGGCGACTCCCTTTGTAAGAGAATCAGTCCTGCCAGAAAGGTCACAGAATGTAGGTCAGGAATCAAGACAATATAATGCTATTTCCACAATACATAAAAAAGCACACCGTGGATGTATATAACCAATGTCTATGAAATATCCACCTGAGTATATCACAGGTATGTGCTGATTAAGAATTCTTAGGACTGCGTTTACTTACTGCACAATTTTAACTTACCAAACTAGGCAAAAAACAAAAAGCACTGAAGTTAGCCTTGGCACTGTTTTTTACTGGTGATTCAGACAGGCTACATCTAAAATCAAAATGCAGCCAGGAAAAGCAGTGTTTGTTCCAGGCAGGTTAGGATAACAGCAACACGCCACCAAACCAAAGGCGCTAGTGGGAAGAGGCCAGCAGCAGTGCACGGTACCAAGTCAAACAGTGGGACATCCAGGGGTGGCCCTATAGCTCTCTTAAGGTTTATGTAGATGAAAAAAAATTCCTGCAATCAGCCAATAACCCATTGGGATCCAAATTATAGCCACTCATTAAAGCCCATCCAGGTAAATGCTCAGGGATGCTTTTAACTTAAAATGAATCCAAGTGGTTTGCAACACAAAAACATTTTCATACAAGGAGAGCATCTGTTTGCCTGTATGAAAAAGGTTTCTGTAGCCTGGGTAACAGCTTTGCTCAGAGAGCTATGAGGTTTCAGAAATGCTGCCTACCTTTGCAGTGTGTCACCCGGCGTTTCCCTTGTGATTTCGGAGACAGAGACAGAAGGGCTAGATAAAGAGACGGTGGTGTACTGCAAGTGTGGCTGGCCTGCCTGCCCCAGAGCCGGGGGCACTCACTAGCCCGCAGGCTGACACCTGCCCTGCCCCCCAGTCTTTATTAAAATCTGGACACAGTTCAGGGATCCGAACAAGTGTGCTCACGATGTGGCCCTGCGAGCCCACGGCAATTATATTTTCAGTGAGTAATTTCATGCGTCCTGAAAATGAAATAAACTCTAAAGCACATGCTGATAAATAGAAAACTTTGCCTTTTATGTTTTAATTCTGAACTTAAGAAAAAAACTCGAACAACTCAATGAATGTATTTAATCAATTACATACTTATCCATTTCCTGCATCTTAAGTGCATTTCTAAATAAGGTTAAGATGCTAGACAACAGCATCTACCTTATTACAAAAGGTGTTAAAAAAGATATATGGAAAGATATATATGAACTATTAGTTTGCAGTTTAGGAGATCATAGGCAGAAAAAGAAAAGCTACTTTTAGACAGTTATATAACTCGAAGCATAAGAAACTTTCCCCTAAGAGAAATGCAAATGTTGATGACAGAATCTAGTTAGTAAGGAAGGAATAACCAAGGCAACAGAAACCTGTTACTCTAGAAATTCCATCATGGGCATAGGCAGTGGCATTCCACTCCTCTCCTTACTGGCCTGTCTTACATTGGTTTTGGAGAGGGCAGATGAAGGGTTTGCTCTTTTTGACTGTTTATGGGCAGTCTTGCTGTCACTATCCAAGCTGTTCAACTACCAGGTAAAAAGCCGACAGCACTCCATCCGCTCTGCACAAACCAAAGCTCCTGTGTGTCCAAGGCTGGCCCCTGAGGCTGGCTACTTCTTTTGTGTCCCTTGAGTCCTGAGGAAGTGAGTGAGGGGTGCCCATACAAAAATTAAATCAGACTTACCTGCACTGAATACAGGCTCCTTGGGTTTGCTGTGAAAATAAAGCAAGAATAGTTTTTAAAGGGCGCTGTGGGTGTTTAATCTCATTCACTTCAGACCCCATAATCACAGCTGCCGTAGTCTGCCGCACAAATGCTGCATAGGTTAAACACGTTAATAAGAAAAATGCAACCAATTTCACTGCAAAAAGGAACACACGTAAACAATCATAAACACTCTCACAGGTGCAAGAGACTGAAATCCTAACTTATCACCAAAGTTGTGCTTTTTGTGAGTGCAAATAAGTGTTTTAGGGAGGAAAAAAATGTGGTTAATCAAGACGGGAACGGCCCTGTCTGAGTAAAAAGGGTTGTTTTTATTCCCCACCCTTTTATGACAGATTATTTAAATAACTTATTTAAAACTAGCAAATTCCTGACAAAAGATCTTCTAGTGAGGCCTTTTAGAGCTCACTTCCTAAGTAGATGGGTGTTCCGAGGAGGACAAGCAGGAGCAGAAGGTAGCGGGGGAGGGGGGAAAGGGGGGAGGGGGGGTAAAAGGGTGTGGTGCCCTCCAACTCAGCCACGTCTCCGGAGAGGTGGGGACACCCCTGCTGACTTCAGCCACCCTGGGCATCCACCATGAGCAGGTGAAACCACACAGTGACAGCGCTTGGGAAACCAAACCCAGGAAGGGTTCAAGGACAGATAGCTGCAGACAGACTGGACATCCCTAGGAGCAAGCATCCCACAGGATAAACTTCCACAAGGAGTCCCTGAGGGCAGAAGGAGAAGTGGCCGCCACTGCAGGCCCGCTAATTCCTGCCTGGGCACCCCTCCCATGACACCACCTTTGGGGAGATGGCACCCTCTTCATTCCAGACAGGGACAGGAAGACCCAGAGAGCTCCGGTGTGGGGGGTGACCCCTTGACCTCAACTTTGACTCCAAAGTTCATGCTTTGCACCACCCAGCTTCCTTGACTTCTGCCTGCTTTAAGATACAGAGCAAGACGCAGGAAATAAACAGGAGCCAAGGGGCACACTGGTTTCACTAGAGCGCCTTAAATGCTTCTAGGCGCACATATGCATGTTGTGTGCATGTGTATTTAAAACAAAAACTTGAGCAGATATATTCCTAATATTACTCCTCCTTAATTTTTGACTTGAAACACAAGGAAAAACACGAGGAATAAAAACTATCCTTAATCCCTTAATTACTATAATGTAATAAGTAATATTATATATTAATATTCTTGAGTTCCAAATAATTTCATGTAGTACATGAGGTAGGATGGTGGAGCCTACTACTTAGCTGAAGCTTTAAAAGTGGTTTACTCTGTTCAAATGTGTTTTAAGTAGTTTCATAAGCTATAGGCTTAGTTTCCTAAACTCTAAACTATGGTCATTGAAAATACCACTATAAAGGTATGGCACAGCCTTTGAACCTAAAAGCCCAGGATTTACGCTGGCCTGCAAGGTCCTATACAATCTCCACCTGACCCCCTTATTCTTCTGAATCATCTTCCTTCACTATGTGGGTAACCCTCCATCTGGGCACCGAGGAAGGAGAGCTAAGCAGATCCCTGGCACAATTAGTGCCTGAAGAATATCTTAGTTTATAGTGTTACTATTCAGTTATTTCCTTTATATAATCCTTTATACATAATAACATATTCGTCTATGGTCGGAAAAATTAGTGCCTGAAGAATATCCTACTACTTAGGTATTTCTATCCATATATATATATCTTAGTTCACAGTCCGAGGAATGCCTAGAGCAGACACGGTACAGAGCATGAATTAAGGAATACGCAGCTATACGTATACAATTATATCTTGCTTATGGTCAGAGGAATGTCTAGAGCAGGCATGGCGCGGAGCATGATTTAAGGGAAGAACAGTTGTACCAGGACAAGAATCTGGCCCAGGTGGTAGTGCCCCTGCCTGAAAGGGCATGCGCTACATGGCAGGTTGGCCCAGGTGGCTGCGTTCAGTATCGTAAAGATACCCGCTGTATGACAGGCTTGGAGCAAGAGTCACTCCTCCTGAAGAGGAGGTGCAGTACCCTGCGTACAGTTCTTGTGGAGAGCTGGCCTCTGGCAGGCAATCCCGCCAGCGTCCGAGGGCCTAAAACCCCTCCGGTATAATCGCGTCTTGGTGACTCTGAACCTTGTCAGCTCTGTTGCTACTGTGCTGACTCAAAGAATCCTCCTACAGAAATTCTCAGAAGCCGCCAGCAGGTGGTGGTATACCCTGTCAGCTCTCCAGCTCCTGTGCCGACTGACAAAGCATCCTCCTATAGATATCCTTAGAAGTAGCCTGCCCATAGATAAGAGATGATGCAAACTGCAGCCTCCTTATTGCACACTGCCCACCTCCTCCGTGACCTAATGGGGGTGGACCCCTTGGTGCACACTGCCCACTTCTTTGCCTCGGTCACCTAACGGGGTTGGGCCCCTTGCTTATCCCTCAGGTGAATGTCTTGACCCTATCACTATCCTTAAGATGACCTCACTCACTACCCTGCCCCCTAACCTAGACCCAATAAATACGATGTTCGGGGCCTCGCCAGTCTCTGCTTGCAAGTGGTGTGGCCCCCTGAGCCCAGCTGTCTTTTTAAGTCCTTTGGTGTCTTGTCTCTTTATTTCACGGATCCAGCGCCTCAGCACAGCGACAGGGGATACCCCACGACCCTGTAGGGCTTAACCCTACACACTATATTCCCTGCTGTTCTGGAAACCTGGTCCAGCAGACTCCGTGTTAGGCGTTGGCTCGTGGTCCCTCCTGGACTATCCTCCCCAAAGACAGCGACTCTCGGGCCACTGCTTTAGCAGCATGTGTGTCTTCCTGCTCCCTGCTCCACACTGCAACCCTCCTCAGGCCTGCTCACCACACCCCTGCCCCTCTGCCTTATTTTTCTCTGTGGCACTTACTTGCCCCCTGCCTTCATGTTGTTTCTCCCACCAGGAGACAATTCCACAGGGGCAGGGATCTTTCTGTTCGTGGCTATATTCCCAGGACCCTGGACAGTAGGCAGCGGCTGCCCTGGTGTGAGGCCTGGAGCTGCTGTGGAATTCCTCTCGGCTCTCCCTGTCTTTAGCCTTCAGCAGGCCCCAAGGATCTGTGCCTGGCGGGTGGTGGTGGGTGGGCTCTCAGCAATCCTGCCCTTCCCCAAGACACAGACAGCTGCTGCCGGGTACCTGGTGTGGGGCTTGGTGTGCAGATGGAGTTTCTCTCCGTTCTCCAGGTCCTCAGACCTCACTGTGTACCCACCCCTCAAAGGGCTGTCTCTCAGCTTTCCTCGTCCTTCCATCGGGGGTGGCCAGCTGCTGCCTGGCACTTAGTTCCAGGCCCCGCACGTGGAGAACGTCTCTCAGCTTTCTTCCTCTGTCCTCTGCGAGAGCAGGCCTGGCACACCTCTGCCTCTGTGAGTCTCTCTCAGCTGCCTGTTCTGCTCCCAATCCACCATGCACACTCACTGAAGTCTGTGGAAAAGTGGAGTGTGTATGTGCGGGGGCCGGGGGGGTCCCTGTGAGCCCAGAGTTCCTGAGAATTCTGAACTCTCCTGCCAGTCCACACTCAGCCCTTCCCATTTCTATAGCTTCAGCTGTTTTCCTACTCCTATCTACGAGGGTTCCCCTTGTCTTCCTGCCACTCTGCCAAAGACAAAAGCAGCCGTGGGGCCTGTCCTCCTCTGGGGGGCTAGCCACTTTTCAGTAACGTTTCAGTTCATTATACTACAGATACTTTCTGCCCTGTGCTCCATGGTGGGCTTAAAATAGCTATGGTATTGTAGGTACCTGAATTATTCTCATTTTTAGGGTAGGTGTGACATTCTTTTCATTTTCTGTGTGCTAAGCAGAAGCAGAAGAAATCTTAACTCCAAATTTCATATATAATATTAGATTTACAGGCAGAAGGAGGTGAGGACAAAAGGAAAGCTAAGACAAAAGACTACGAGGCAAATCTAATTACAGAAGCATAATCAAAGGGAAGCCAGGTAGGGAATCAAAAGATAGGAAAACTATTTTTTTTTTCATCGTGACTTTGATCACAAAAGTAGAATGATGCAAAAGCTACGAACACAGAAATGAGAAATTCAGAACTTTCCCTAGAGACAGAAAAAAGCAATTATGAACTATGTTCCTCCTACAAAGAGAAAATCTGTAGGGGAATCTGAACTCTCTGTACAGAGAAGCTCACGGACCTTTGACACTAAAGAACTGTAAGAGGAAGAATGAAAGATTCCTATCAACAGATTAGGGTGCAGGAATGTTAATGACTCTGGTCACTGAGAGGTACCAGGCAGTACTAAAATGCTTACACTTCTTTAAATCATGCTCTAAACAATGTATCACTTTATGGTATGCTGCATTTAGAAAACATTACTGCTATGTTTTATTATTTTAGAAAGTTGAGTTTTTATTGAAAAAAACCAGCATATTTGCTGCAGACCCCCTTACTGCTGCCAATGCACCACTACCTTTCCTAAAAGGCAGGACTGGGAGGAGGTCATCCCACTCATGCGAGCACATCTTAGAATACAAACTCATAAAATGATGACAAATCTTCTGAACAACTGGTACAAAGGCAAACCCACAGATGTGCAGGATAAGCAGACGAGAACATTAAAGGCACTGTGGCCTCTCAACAAAGTCTGCTGAAGGGAGCCGTACGCAGAAAGCGCATCTTTCCAGGACTCACAGCTACTTGAATTGGTAGCGGGTGCTTCAGACCCAGCACTATTTGAAACATTCTTGAGCTGTGAATTCACCTGGAGTGGGAGATGATCACTTCTCAAGGTGTTATGTAATTCATCTCTGATTCCCCATTTTTTGGTGAGCTCGATGGAAAAAATTAAGCGGGTGACTTAACACCCCCTCAATAGCTGGGGTGTGGCTCCATGGGGGGGAGGAATGCCCAGTCCTTTCCTAGGAAGGATGAAGGAGCACCAGGTGCAGAATGAGCCTTCATTCATCCCCTGCCAAGTGTGGAGTCAATAAAGATGCCCCACATCTGCCCCTGAAGCCATGACAGAATGAAGCCCAGTGGA